CTATGTCATTGCCAACCTACTAGTTATCTCGTAGATAATTTTTGCTTCATAGAGTAATTATATAGAAATGAACGTACCAGTACCGCTGTACAACACATACATTAGACACCTGAAAAGTACCTATTAAATATGCTTGCATGTAAACAACCCTTGACAAATGGGAATGCCCAGTAAAATTACCAGCATTTACAGCAGTCAACTTTTTAAACTATAGATCTGTGAGTGACTTCGTGAAGTCCCTTAACCCTAACAGTTCCAGGCATTGTTTGGCTTAGAGTACTCAGTACTACAAAATACTAAGTAATACTCTGAGCCTGAAGGACCTATCGCTACAAATTACTATTTCTGGCTAGGTTTATTCCGTTGTTACTCGTACAGAGAACAATGAAACCATGCATTCACTGTGCCACAGCACTGTATGGTACATTGTCTTCTCTATTGTGTTTTATGGCTTCAAACAATAATAATGTCATGTCCTCTTCCAAGTGACAGGGCTGAGTACTACATTTTACTACTAAGTAGTACTTTGTAGCATTCGGGACTGTTAGGGTTAATTAACTTTTGCTATTTGCATCTAAACTTTCGGACTTTCTTCATGGGGTGTTTGTTGTCAGCTTCATTGATGAGTTTCAAACTCACTTTGAGTTTATATCCATAGCCCCCTAGTGTAGGTGTAATACATTGAAATTGGAGTACTGAGGACTGTTAGCATTTATAGAAATAATGAGAAATGTAAATGTCTTTAAATAGTTTGAAAGGCAGAAGGTGAGTTTTGCAAGTCGAGCTTGATATTGGGCCCAGAGTCTGTGGCATATCTACATGTAGGTCAAGGGTCCAGGGGATGCTATGAAACTTTTCCTAGAATTTTTCATCTGCAAAGAATCACCCTCCCCCCCCGAAAAGAAGGTGATAATATAGGCTATAACATGCTGGAAATATGTCTGTGTATGGTGGTAAATTGATCATTAACAGGGATAGTTTGATCTCTGTAGAATTCCACTTTCTGTTTAGTTTGGGGTTAAGCATGGTTAAAGTGCTCAAGGGAAAGAATGAAGGTGCTCCATGTTTAAACATGTAGTTGAATTAGGAATCCTCACTAATAGATCAGTGTTTTGTCTGATTTGGTTCAACAGAAAGCAGGATGACATGTTACCCCCCAGGCAACCACCCCTATGTCAGGGACCAAGGTAGGACACTCATTATTGCTCAGTTTAGTTTTATTTTGTTTCTGTCAACTTTTTCTGGGAATCCATTGCCCCTGGTTCCATCTCTAGCTCACTCCTTTCCCACACTTCTTTGAAACTATGTATGGAAATATGCAACTTATGCTGAAATCGGCTGATTTTTCTCATTCCTTGCTTCTCCGATGTACCATTACAATTAAACAAAAGTTACGTGTGGTTTGTAATTTCCTTGTTTTTTCTGAATTCCCATTTGCATATCCACATACATGTATAATCATGGAGCTGTAGTAATTAGTACTAAATACTCGGTGCTATTGCATTGCTTCAACCATTGAGATACGTGTACTTCTTGGACATCTCCCCCAAAAGAAATTAGTAACAAGTGTAAATTTAAATGCTGTGATGTGACATATTTAAATGTCAATCAATTACCAAGCTCATCATCAATTCTGTTGAATTTGCATATTTGTAAAAAATGTTTTGGGTCATCAGTATTTCCCCCCCCCCCGGCCCAAAAAATTTCAAAGACTTGATATTTTTCCCTACCTAGATATTGTCTGAAAAAATCACCATTTCTCGAATCAGAATCCTGTTTAGAAAGGTCACTCCATTTTTTCCATCTCATTTATTTTCCTAAATCATGAGGACTGTCCCAGTTGTTACCCTCACTGAAACTGTTGTTGGAAGTGTGTGTTGGGTTGGATTGGGTTTGGGACTCATTTAATTCTGCTTGTTGAAAGTTGATGTTCCTTAAGTGATGCTTTTTCAAAGGGACACCATCCAACCCACTTCTTGTATTGAATGAAGACTCCAGCTAAGAAAAATGGGATTAATGTTTTGGCCAAGTTATGGGGGGGGAAACAGAGGTACTTGTAAATGTACAGTGTATGTTGCCCATTGCAATTCACATTACTGTGACTATTTTAATGCAGATGACATTCACAAACTGTGTAGTGAAATTTAAGGCCCTGTCTGAATCAGCTGGTTGTGGCTATGAGCAACAAACATGTCCATAGGATGTGGCTGCAGACTATGTGGCTGCATGCTGTGGGTGCATGCCTTGGGTGCATGATTTGGACCTTTGCAGTACCCTCAGATCAGTAACAAGGCAGTAGCACAGTCACATCTCTGCTTCCCCATTACCTATTCCATAGCTATCCATATATGTGTATGCACTGTCACTGGACTGTACCATGAAATTTGCAGAAGTCATGTATATGCAAGATGATGGTGCATAAAAATTACATGTTTCTTGCACTTCAATCAGATTGTCAGATTTCATACAAACTTGCCATCATGAGTAGCATTTGGGTTCTAAGAGTTTTCACTTCAAATGCCAACTATGTGGACCTTACTGTTCATTTCCTTTACCTATAGAATACGATCAGCGTGTAACATTAGGCCATGACCGTTCCAGTCTTCATCAGGCAGCCCAAAAGGGTTATCTCTTCATGTTGCACTCACTCATTGAAGACGGTGCTCGCGTTAACATCACAACTTATAATGGTGTGACCCCCCTGCATGATGCGTGCAGTTCTGGCCATGTCTTCTGTGCTAAGAAGCTTATAAATGCTGGTGGACAGGTATTGTGTGATCCTTCTTTTCATGTTGTTTCTCTCCCCTCCCCTTACCTTGTATATTTTCAGCATTCGATGTTTTTGATAGGACCAGAGTGCATCAGGCAGCGAGTAGTGGTCATCCACTGTTGCTTCAATCACTCATTAATGAGGGTGTGTGTGTTAATAGTCCAAACTGCAACGGAGTGACGCCATTACATGACGCGTGTCAGACAGGTCACCATGTCTGCGCAAGTAGGATCATCCGAGAAGGGGCCAAGGTACAATGTTTGATCACTGCTCTTATGAAAGATGGGGAAAAAAAGAAATCCCGAAGGTAGGTTAATACTTGCCAAGAAAATGAGCCTGCATGTGAAAATTGTGACGTCACGTCACATATGCATCCTGCGCATTTGCAATGTTGAACACATTCCAACCCAGAGTGAATTTTAGTGTAGGTGTTTTATGATGTGAAGTTTGCATCACTTTCATCTTTACCCAAAGTATGAATCAGCTTTAAGTTTGGCTTTGGATTGGTCATCAGTGCAAAAGGATGTGGTGATCTTTATTTTTCATTGACTTTCCTTGCATTAGTACAGTATTTTAAGTATTTGGATAACCTCAAGTTCTAAATCCTTTCAAATCTGCCTGGAAGTTTGAGGGTTTTATGGGAACACAGCAAGCAGAATGCAGCCACTGTTATCACATGGGTTTGATGCTGCTTGAAAGTCCCTTTTTTAACATTCTAGATATATGCATTGTACTCTTTGTGAAAAACTAAGTTCTGAAAATTGTCCAAAGCTTATCAGCTTTGGAAGGTAGATACATGTAGCATTAGCTGACTTTTGGTCAAGGGAACTTAACTTCAGATATCAATAAACCTCCTGTTTTTTCTTTTTGTGTATAGTTGAATGCAATGGACATAGACTGGCATACTCCGATGACCAGAGCATGTGCAGAAGGAAAGAAGGAATGTGTAGAGCTGCTTGTTCAGTCGGGGGCCAAGCTAAATATGGAAAGTGAACAATTCTCACCCTTACATTGTGCCGTTGCCAAAGGTAAACAATATAATAAATCCATGTACATAAATCCAGTAATATGACATAGGTTAAGATACCACTCATAAAATAATTTCAATAGTTAAGCAGAAACAGAAGAATACAATTTTAACACACCAATTAAAATAAGAATAACATCAAAAACACCATAGGAATGACAGGATCAAGAAAATAGTAATCCAAAAATGTACGGATACAAATACACAGGAACAATCAACAAGTTAATAAAACACTTAACATTCCATGGAAGAGGAGACTTTTGTTCTTCTAATAAAGCGTCCAATCTTGAGCTCCCTGAAACTTAATCATATGGGGGCGTGGCAAGACAACATTGCCCACAGAGCTATTTCTAGTATTGTAAGAATGAGATTCTCTAACCCAAGTAAAAACATCACATAGATGTCCTGAATGACACCCACCAAGCATTTAAATACCTACATGTACATTTCGGGTGAAAATCGCATCTGTCTGACAGAGTAACCCAACCCAAGGAATTCAGTACAATTGATAATGATGTCCTAAGTGGAGCCCAAAGAATAATCATTCTGTTAAGAAACTCATCTAAGCGTTGTAAATTCAAATTGGAATTATCGCTCCAAACTAAATCACAAATCATAAAAACAAATGGTTTAACTATGAAATTGAGTGAAAAAATAGGAAGAACTGGTTTTTCTCTGTTAAGAACCCCAATATGCTTATTAACTGCCGAGATAATGTGATTAGAATGATGATTCCATTTTAAGTTACAATATACTTCCAGATATTTTGTGCACGAAACGTGCTGAGAGACTTGCATTATTGACATTGACATCAATATTTGGTTGTCCATTTTCGACAAGTCTTTGAGCTGAACCGATCAAAATACATTTAGATTTACTAGTATTTAGACAGAGTCTATTACAAAGCCACTGAGAATTTCTTTCCATATCCTGATTTAAGCACTGATTAATGTTAGCAATGGTTTTTTTTGGATAAAAATAGCAGTGTCAATAGCATACAGTACACATTTTGAGCGTTTAATAACTGATGGAAGTTCATTGATAAAAATCGAAAAAAAGTAATGGTCCCAAGATTGTTCCCAGTGGTACTCCAAATTGAAGTGGCTCTGACACTTTGGATAAGAAACCACCGACTCTTGTACATTGCCTTCTGTCTAATAAGTAAGATTAGAACCACTCAAGTTCCAGACCACGTACACCATATTTCTCTAATTTCTGCAACAAAATTGCATGATTAACAGTATCGAAAGCATTCTGTAAATCAAGGAAAACAGCTTCAACAAATTGGCCAGCATCTATTTTTTCATGTAAAAAATCAGATACATCAATTAATGCTGTACGTGTTGATTGATGTGGTCTGAAGCCCGACTGAAACTTTGTAAGCAGATTATTAATACAAAACTATGGAGCTGACCATGAACTACGTGTTCATCACAGAAGAAATTACAGAAACTGGTCTTTACTGATTACGATCATTGGCATATAACTTTCTTTTGTTCACGAACCTGCCACAGTGCACTACTGACCTCTTTTCAATAGGAGCCAGATTAGCGTGCAGCAGTGCTGTGTGGCTCATCGCTGCAGTGGTGCAGCGCTTTTGTCCCAGGTGGTAATCCGCTCGCTCTAAATGCCCCAAACCGCGGTATACTGTTTCAAAACAAGGCTAGATTATCTCCACTTTTGAGAGTGAAAAATGCCGGTAATTCCAAGCAGCGTGGTATTTTGTTCTGAGTACAGTCTGTTGTTACAAGGCCCAGTTCCCTCTGTCCCATTTCAGGTTCCCGGGCTCCAAAACCTATGTGCACGAAAACAGGTCCCCAGCAGCAAGTGGTTAAAAAAGGTCCATTAATACCATCAAGACCAAAAGCTTTCCCAGTGGTTGTACCTTTGAGAAGTTTATAAACATTCCTAACAGATATTGGAGAAAAAGTAAACATTACAGATACGTTATTCGCACTTTGAGTCGGGGCATTGAAGTTGCTAGTAGGACCAGGATCTTTAAGAATGCCCATGAACACTGTAATATCAGCTGGTGGGTTGTGCCAGGGTATGAGAAGAGCGACTGCTCCATGTCTTAGCCACTTGGTAACTGCAACTTTTGTAGTAGAATAAAAACTAGTTCAGTTCAGCTCGAGGGTTTAGCAGAGGAAGATGCAAATGCAATGCAGTGTACAACTGCAGATGCAGTGTACAAATCTTTGATTTCTTGCCATAGTCGTTAGTTAAATAGAAGTGACGCCTGAAATCATAATATTGGCAGTCCTTTTATACTTAGACTTAAAGAACTCTGTCTTTTCCTGTACATCTCATTTTCCAATCTGCCTCCCTTGGTAACCTACATGTACCTACTGAATTAAACTTTATTTTTGTCACATGTATGTTTTCCACTGGTAGAATGGGACATGATCCCCTGGGTCTGCATAGGTCTGTTGCACCTTGTGTATAAAAAAGTGTTTTCTTCTTGCAGGGTGTTTAGATTCAACGAGTATTCTTCTGAGTGTGGGAGCTGAGGTGGAGAAATTGGACCAGAACAGACTGGGAACACCTCTACATGCGGCTTCCTATTGCCATCAGACAGAATGTGCCAGGTTACTGCTTCAAGCAGGTATGAATTGACTCCATGGAGCCAAGTCACCTAACTGTTTCTACTGTTTCTACATTCCATACGCACAACTCTTCAAATGAACACTCTTTGTTTCTATGGTCCTCGTCTTTGGAACAGTTTAGCCACGGCGTTGAAAACGAAGTCCTCTGTGGGTAGCTTTAAATCTGGTTACAAAGACTATGTTGTCTCCCAGTACGTGTCATAATCATGCTCCCTGATTTAGCAGCCTTTTTGTTGTTTTATTTTTCTTTTGTATTAATTAGCTGTCTTTTCCATTTCCTATTTTACATAGTGCTTCTGTTGCTCTTGCTTTGATTTACGACATCATCAATCTTGTTTAGATAACATTTAATGTATTCATCGTTATGTTTTAACATTCATCCCACGTGTATGTCTTAGTTCGAATGTTTTTCTGTCAATGTATTAGTTTGTCGATTGGATCTTGTTTTGTTTTGTCAGGGCATCTTATATATAAGCTTCCAGCTTCCTAAGATGCCCCTATATTGCCATCTTCATTCCATCTCTGTATATATCCCTGTCAAGTTTTCTCTGTGTGTATATACTAGTAATATTGTACTAAATATATCTCCTGATAATTAATTTATATTACTTTTCTATATGGCATTATGGAAATAAATGTTGTTGAATGAATGAGTCAGGATTCGGGAAGAATATAAGCTGAAAATTCCCACGGTTAGGGTTAAATTTCACGTAGTCTCTTTTGATTTGTTTTTCGTCTGGGTGAACCTAAGGTGTAATAAAACTTGTCAATGTATTTCTTAGGAGCCAGTCCAAATACCACACGGCCAGAGGATGAACAGACTCCATTACATGTTGCTGCTTCAACATCTGCACCAGCAGAAACAATCACCTTGCTTTTACATCATGGAAGCAAGTTGACTGCTAGGGATAAAGACGGAAAGACGGCCCTAGACTTGGCACCAATAGACAGTGAGGCCTATGGTGTACTTAAACACCATCAAGGTAGGCATCCTATTTTTTGTCATGGGTTATTTTAGCGCATGGTCTCTTGTTGCTTTGGCAGCTCAGGCCTGTTGCCTGACCAGAGACGAGGGGGGGGGTTCATCAAGCCCAAAAGTGGAACTTTTGGCACTGTGAACTCATATTTTTATACAAAGGCCTATCACAATGTGCTTTGGAAAACAACATTAAAAAGTTGCATTTCTGTCGTGAACCAAAGGTTGCATGTAAGACTTATACACTGTAGTTTTCAATATTGAATAAACTAACAAATAATACATTGATTTCAAACCCTTTGAAATGCCTGAAATGTGGATATTTGCCGGAATTTCCTGATGGTACACATGACTAGAGATTGAATTTATTAATATGCAGAATCATGGTCACCTTGAGCTTGAGAATCAACGTATAAGCCGTGGCTCGTATGCAGAATATTACGGTTTATTTAAAATATTCAGTAGTAAAAAAAAAAGACGGTACCAACAAGCGGAACTCAGAAGCGACCCCCAGCCTGCAACTGTTTCTGAATCACCTTGGGAACTACCCAGCACCAACTAGGTACCGGTGTCTCTGGAACCCTAAACTTTTCCAAGTCCTGCAAAATCCCTCTAGATTTTTAAACTTTTTTGGTTGAGAAGAAATTCACAGCTTATAACTGCACGTTAGACTTGTTAGGATGGGAAAAGTACCATTGGCTTTGTGCAATGTGGAGGACATTGGAAGATTTGGAAAGATTTCCAGCAAGTGTTCCACAGCCTGCACACTTGCTGTGCTGTAATCATCTCCATTAAAAAGGCTTCCATCGGCTCGCTGAATCCTCATCGGGGTCTTGCTGTAAACCCATGGTGGCACCTTCACTGTTTTCTAACTCTATCTACGGTATCTCCAACACTGCTGCCTTGTGATGTTCCCTTTTATTCAAATTTCTGGACCAATCTGCTGAATCATGCATCACAGCACATCAGAACGTTCTTCAAAATTGCAACATTTGCACAAAAATCCTGCCCCCTGATGGTTCTGCACAACATCACAGGGAATACAGTTGACTCAGCAATACAAGCTTGGATAAGACAAGATTCCGGTTAAGACGAGCGTACATGTAGTTTGTCAGTCCCGACCAAAGTTTGTACATTCCTATGAAGAAAACAATTTTTAATACACTGTACGAGCTCGGGTAATACGAGATTTCAGTTAAGACAAGTGCTTTTTCTGGTCTGGTCGAGTGCAGATGCATTGTTATCTCTCTTTGTAGCACGAGCATTTTTAAAACAACTCATCAGTCAATGAACCCATTTGAGTACAGGTGCTGTTGTACTAGGGACAGTGATAATGCTCGCTTATCCCTGATAAGTTATGGGGGCATTTTAGATCCCCAAGCTATCAAAGGATTTTCTTTGTGGGAGCTCTCATGCTGTCCAATTGGAATGAATACGACAGATGGTGGGCGTTTGCAATTCCTAGGCCACCAGATAGCCTGATCAGAACATACTCATTACAAACTAAACTCCCACTAAAACACAACAAAAAATGCCCCTACCCAACCTATAAACTTACATAAAATTCATTTGTCATTAAAATGTGTTTTCTCTTACCTGTAAATGTCATATTGGAAGTCAAATTTATAGGTTCTAAATCCAAAAAGTTAAAAAAATCTTCATTATCCTCTAAAAACATATTACCCAGGCCAAACTTATGCCTTCATTGTCCACCAAAAAAATCACTGGTTTTCTTCACTTTGTACATGTATAAAATTACATTTCTTTAGTCGGTCACTAACTAAAATATTAATGTACTTACTTACGCATTCTCTTGCAACAGTGACAACACTGTGCTGGTTACTTCACATTGACAATTACTGGTGATGAGTCCGCTTGACCTGTTGTTGCAGTTTATTTAGTCGGTCACCAACTAAAATATTAATGTACTTACTTGCGCATTCTCTTGCAACAGTGACAACACTGTGCTGGTTACTTCACATTGACAATTACTGGTGATGAGTCCGCTTGACCTGTTGTTGCAGTTTATTTAGTCGGTCACCAACTAAAATATTAATGTACTTACTTACGCATTCTCTTGCAACAGTGACAACACTGTGCTGGTTACTTCACATTGACAATTACTGGTGATGAGTCCGCTTGACCTGTTGTTGCAGTTTATTAATTTTCTGCTTCGTTCTTCTCAACTGCAGTATATAATACATGCTTTATTACAACTCTTTCTTAAATCTGCATGTACATTACACTTTCATAAAGAACATGTTCGAACTAATTTGAAAGCAAATTCATCACCCGTCAATAGTAGTATGACCAACAAATGACACATACGAGTGGGAAAATACTTTTCGCTAAAGATGAGGTTCCGGATAATACAAAATAATTAAGTAAGTCCCGAGGCCCTCGTATTAATGAGAGCTGACTGAACGGGGTATTTTCCTGATGTAGAGTGATCATGTGACCACAGACCAGGTTTATCTTACATGTATGTACCTGGTATGTATCACTCCTAACCCTGAAGAAGGAAATCCAAGGGCTTTACCCTGTACCAACAGAGGGCACTGTTCACTGAATTGTTGGGTGCACATTTGATAGGTTGCAAATTACAATGATAAATACCTGTACAAATATTAAATCTATAAAAATGTATAAATTGTTGGAAAGGGTAAGGGAGGTCACTTGATGACTTTTTGGGAGGATATCAGGCCGTTAAAAATGTGATATGGTCAGTGTGGGTTAAATTGGCTTGCAAGCCCGGCCCACTCAACATACATGTACATGCTGAACTGCACCTGGAATTATTCTGTTGTGTAGTGTTGGTTTGAACAGTATGAGTCAGGGTATCACTGCAGTTCTTAAGAGAGTTACCCAGTGAACGTACCCAGTGAATGTACTAACATACACTTTGATTTGTTTTACAGACATAAACTACCCTTTATTTTTTACTTTGGCAATAATCCTGTTTTCTAATGTACAAGTGTTATAATTCAATTGAAGCTGTTTTATGAAGTGGAGTATTTTACTTTTGTGTTTTTCTGTCCTCTCAGAAAATGTGCCTTTACTGTCTGAGCTTTGTCGTGGGTCTGTCAACAAGTCTCTGAATGATGATAGAAGCTCTATCATGTCCTTGCCACTCCCAGAAGGAATCAAGGCCTTTTTGGACTACAGAAAGTGATTCCAGTGACCACAACCATGGACAAACGCGATAGTACCTCATTTGCATATTTATATACATCAGGGTTGGCTACTTTCATGACATTTGTAACTTGTATTATTATTTTTCATAATCTTGAGTTTGGTTTTTCATTTCTATTCCGATGCCCTTTATTTGTCTCATTGTTCTTCTGTGCAACTATCAGTGTCAACAGTATTGAAGTTGAAACCATCACAAGACCAGACAGAAGACCAGATGCAAGACCAGTCATAAGAAACAGGCAAAATAATGATGAAGGATTACTTTTCATTTGAATAGCTAATCTTGAGTTTTGAAATCAGACTGGCGTTCTTGTGTTGGTCTTATGGAGAGGTCTTCTGGGATCTGGTAATGGTTTTTAGTGGTCTCCACTACAGTTCCAACATATTGAGGTCTGAAACTTTTGAAAAAACAAAAGGAGTAAATATAAAATTGCAAAACATTCTGAATGCTGCATTTTTCTCAAATTAAAGTGAACAGCAAGTAGGCTGTGGGAGGTGGGAGTACATGTATATGAAAAGATGGATGCAACTTGAATGCCTGAGAGAAAAATGCCCTGAAGGTTCGAAGGTCATAGAATAACATTAGGCCGTGTCAGAATTTCTTTTGTATGTTTAGCAAGAGTACATGCACCTATTTAAAAACTACTAGCTAGTGGTTTGAGTCATTTCTCATGGACGTGTGTGTTGTTGTCAGCTCTAGGCAGCCAAATGATTCAGACGTGTTGCTGAAATAGATATGAATTGAAATGTCAAGTGTGGTGGAAACATATGGAATCACTCAGCAGAGCTCTATGAGTCTTTTTTTTTTCCCAAGTCCCATTCTATTTGGCTGTAAAGTTGGAGTCAAGCCAACAAGTACCGAGGCTATATTAATCAAGTACATGTATATGTACTTAAAAGGAGTAAAGCATATGAGGATGTTGTCACACAGTCTTGGATATGCAAGTTCTTGGATATTTTTCAGCATCTCTGTTCTCCCCTAAACACAATTACTTGTTAAGCAGTTGTGGGAACAAAGACAGATCTTGTGGTAACCCAAAACAGTATGGAGACAACATTTTTATACCCACAAGTTGGTCTCAACTTTGCTATTGCAAAAGACATAATCCTCTCTATGTGGCAAAATGCTCATTCAGGCTTATTTTGCCAGGCTTAATTCCTACATGATCACCTTCTCTCCTAAAGCTAATTGGTGGACTTTGATGGAAACTCTGCTGCTTCTTAGGTAATACTGATAATAATAACTCACAAGTGAGTGCTTTTATTAGGATTTTTGACCAATGAAAAATACCAGACCTGCATCTATGAATATAGACTACTGAAGCCTGAGGTCATATTGTAATCCAGAAAGTGTAGTGCATTATGAAGGGAGTACACGGGTTTGTTGGTTCACTCTCTGCTTCTTGCACTAATGTCTTTCACACACGTGATTGTGAGCATGACATACGCGCTTTGGTACCCTATAGGAGCAGCACTGTCCAGAATGGAGTAGAAATTTTGGCAGTACACCCGAAATTTAGAAAGGATTAAGCTTGAGTTGATTCCAGCTGAGCCCTGGCTAATTAGGCTAAACTCTCATATACATGAAACTTCGAAGGTGTCATCTTAGGCATAGGTTTTGTATTGCAAATGTGAACCTCTCCACTGTAGTGAGCTAACAGATCTTGGAACTTCGGTGTCAGGGTCATTTTATTTATTTTTATTATTTTTTGTTGGGGAGTGTAATTTACTAACACTTCTAAATTAAGCATTCCTGTAGATAATGTCAAAGGAAGGTAATGCATTCTGGGATATCAGCCTCTTTATGGGCGTGACTTAAGTGTAATGCTTTGGCAACATCTGAAATTTAACTTCAAAATTAGGAATGAAAGTTTCAATCTTATAATTACGAGTAAAGAAAAATATTCTGAAGAGAGCAAAGTGCCGTATGTAATTTTTAAATTTGTGCCTTAACCAAAGCAACAACTGTAAAAGTAGTTGACTTAGTATTAGAATATATTTAATAATTAATGTGATAATTATTGTCAATTTTGGTTTAGTGAACATTAATTTTACACACCAATAATGTATTAAATTCTTAAAATTCTACTTTTAACGCACAAATGTTTAGTATGTACATTTGTTGTCAATCTTGTGTCATCATTTTATTACAAAATCATGGCATACTGTGATAAATAAGTACATATAATTTCAGGAACAGTCCATGACACTTTGACACTGTTCTGTGCAAAAGTACAACTCCTTTGGTGGTTTTAAAACATACAAATTTTTAATGTTATTATAAAAAAATATTTTTCATCTTTCCAATGCTTGGCTTGACCCTACATTGGTAATAATGCTGCATGTTCTCTGCCATCGTTACGCAAGGCAGTACTATAAATCATAATACCCCTAGATCAAGATGTGATGTTACATTCACATTTGTGTGTAATGCTAGCTGATTCTCGCTGCATTGGAAATGCTTGTAATTCAAAATGACATTTCTCTTACAAGCAGCTGTGTGTTGAGTAAAGCATCTGTGTATCTGCCTTTTCGTCTGATCAGGGTTTTGATCAGTGATTTGTTTGTCAGTCCACTGGCTCAGACCCACTGGCGTCATCTTCAGCAGTAAAGCAGTCATTAAGTGGTCTGATTTGAATCTGTTATATGTGGAAGAGTATGCACAAAGACATGCATGACAATTACTAGTGCTCCATATGTTAATCTGCATGCCCAACAATGTTTCTAGAGAGTTTGGATTAATGAAAAGGACAGGAAAAAAATGAAAAAAATGAAGTTCTAAAGATATGGAAATGTTTTCTAATCTCTGCTAATGTCTGAGCTCTGCTTGATTGGATGTTGGCCTCCTGAACTGAAGGACATCAGCTCAATATAGGTCCATGGTCTGCTTCCGATTGTCAAACCTGGTAACATGAGATTAAACACTGGGGAGTTCATGCTTGATTTGGCCCCAAAGGCTTCCAAATTATTTCATGTAACATTCAAGACACCAGGTTGTAACGTGTGTTACATACTGGTATAGTGCAAAACTTGTGCACAAATATAAAATTCATGTAATTCAATTTTTAGAGCAGCTGAGGGCCTGTCTTTTTTTCTTAACAAAACTTTGTCTTCAAGAAGACATTTGTCCAAGCAAATGTACCAGTTCTTAATAGTTGGATTTTGCATGTTAGAATTGGGTGTACATGTAAGTTTAAATTACATACATCACCCTGCCACACTTACGCACCATAACCTCAGAAGAAAATTGGTTACCTGCAGATGTCTAAGAATTTGAAAAAAAGCATGATGTCTTTTATCATTAAAAAAAAGAAAACACATCTGGCTTGAAACATAAAATACCATAATTCACAACTCTGAAAGCCAGGTTAATCTTTGCAGATTTCTTTTCACAAGGAGTCCTTGTGTGTACGTGTGATTTTTTAAGTTAAACATCCATATCATGGGGAAGAGCACATAAACGTCTGAAAAAAAAAGTGGTACCTTTTAAATATATAGTAAATCAGTTTTATGGTTTTAATGGAAGGTTTGTTATTGAATTCCAGGTAATTTCTTTGTCACCGTTTTGTATTTTATATCTCAGGTTTCATTTAAAAATTTTCATTTCATTTATTGGAGAATTCAGTGGTGGTTCTTGTTTTTGTTCAAATGTTTGTTCCGATCTTTTTTTTTGTAATACAAACCTAACGTGTTTCAGGACTAGAAATAAGTACACAAATACACAACTACAAAGACATGTACGTGTAACATGTTAAGTTCTGTAACTCAGTTCAGTATGTTTTATTCTCAAGCTCTTTCCCATCATCATACATGATGTCAATTTTCACAAATTCATTTACAAATACATAGGTGCGGAGTAAGTTTACAAAGAAAATCTTTATTTACAATAGGTTAGATAACTATTTTATTTCAATTGATTCTTCAATAAACACCTATCCTATTTTCAGCTTGTTTGAATAATAAAAATCCGAGTCAATTCTTCAATACTTGGTTTGCTTTCTGGTAAATCCATTGTTTTTAATTTATTGAGCTACCTTAAAGATTACAAAAAGTTTGCAGAACAGAAAGATTTCCAAATGAACTGCATCAAATATTGCCCGGTGCCATTTATCTTTTCCCGTGCAAACTGCAAAAAAGCAAGATAGGTCATCCCTTAAAACCAGTCCCCTTTTAAGATGTAGTCACTCCTTTTAAAGATGTTTCTGGTAACCTTTAAAACTGGTGTTATTGGCTGCATTTCCACATTTTCGGTTTTGTATGTGAGAAGTTTTTCCATAGTTGTGAGCATATACCAAAACAACTACATGTATGAGGTCACACATTTGATTTCTAAATTAAATGAATTCTCTCCAGCATCTGTTGCTTTCACAACAAAATCAAATGCATCAATAATTGAGGTGAGTTGTATTCAGATCTTGTTTCCCATTTTTCTCATATGTTATTTTTGGTCATTAAGATTTGTTTCCATGTTAAAGTTATTCAGAAAACTTATACACTTTGAAAGTCTCTTCAATTTTCAAATTATATTTCTTTGAAAGACCATGTGCTAGTGACTGCAAGGATGAGATCAGTGTCATAGTTGTCGCACTGAATTTATATACATGTACCCTGGTCCTAATTGGAACACTATTGCTTCGTCTGAATTTTACACTGATGGCTGAATTCCACATTAACTTTGGTAGAACTTTCAAGGTTCAATCTGTGTCCATCTACTTGTTGAGGGTGCTCTTTACATTTGCAAGTCATAAAGCTACCTTTGCATGCCTAGTAAAGCAAATAATTAAGTGCTGCCTGGTGAAAAATCATTTCTGATAACCCACACAACTCTGATCTATTCCTGGGGAAATAACATCAGACTTATCCAATCACAATACTGTGACAAGACTCCAAAATTATAAAACACACAAGACATCTCGAACTTTAGAAGACGGCTACTCTCTGGATCCTGCATCAATATATTTAAAAAGAAGTCATTTTTAATTCCAAGTTTTAAATAAAACAAACCAAACTGTCAATATGTTCTTATTTCTTTGTACATATAAAATGGGAAACCCCTAGAAATATTTCAAAGAAGACATCTTTTATTGGTTAACTTTTTTTAACGGTGCTGCATAATTCTTCAATATTAAAGATGCTGGCTTAGATGGCAAGAATACAGTATGCTTTTTTGACATTTATCATTCAGCATTCATCACCCAAAGACAAAACATGAGGTAAAGAGAGTTAAAGAAAGCAAATTATGAGCAAATTGAAATTTAATGAATACAAAATAATGCAATCAAGTGCATGTAACTGCATTGTAAGTACATGTGGGTAACAAGGGCAAATCCAGGAAGTTTTCTGGAGAGGGGGTATTAGGCCCCTCAGATTTTCTTTTTATATTCAACTGTTGCAAACAGCTAGACACATAGGTAATGTATTACACTATCACTGATGTACAAATAATACTGCTTACCAGATGTCATCCTTTCTATTGTTTTTTTCATTTATTTATTAATTTGCGTGTGTCAGAGCAGCCCCCCAACCCCGGATTTGCCCTTGAGTTATGATACAGATTATCAGACTACAGACTTAGTGACCACGAGTGAACAGTGCTGTGCGAGGGTTCACTAGAGCTCTAGTGTTAAGGACACACTGAGAGTCTACATTTGTTTGTGAGGGCTTATTGGGCTTTATCATAAAGGAAAGACATAAAGTTGACAGACACATGAAGAGAACAAATGATTTGTCCGGTCCTTGATTTTTTGTCAAAACCCAGTCCTAAAAAGACAGTCAGTGCGCTTAGTCTATGGGAGAGTGTTATAGGAAACTACAAATCCAATGCCTTGTCCTCCGGGTCTGAAGTGCACCCTTTTACTTTTCATCTGAATGTGCACAAACCCATATCATCTGTGCGTGGGTGTTACGCACACCCTGTGACAGATACACAGTTGGCCACAGTTGGGGGGGGGCCCCCTTCACAATGCAACACTACTGCAACAGTATGATAAACAGCCAAGCACAATTCAGGCCATGTTCAATTCATGACCATTTTGCTTGTCAACCGTGGTTGATTCTGCCTGGTATTAAACCTATGCACAAAATAAACCTTGGGTACCAGGGAAAATCGACCAGAATTAATTGTCACTGCTCTAACTTGGCCTTAATAGTGGACAAGATCACCAACAGAGGGTACAGGGTGAAACCAGAACTCCCTCATGCATAAACCTACGAAACAACCATTATTATGAAAAGAATAAAAATGAGCTTGGCTGGTCTTAATCCCATCGGTAAATATCGGAAAGTCAAAACAAGTTGTAAAATAATTCAAAAAATAAACTTGCAATGATTTTGTTCAACAACTTTACTTCCCTTTTTAAGCACCCCTCTACCCATGTTATGGTATGTGTCGCCCAGAAGCCGGTGCTTTGCAAACTAAGACATGATGGGCTCTCGACCGATAGGAATGGCTAAACAGTCTCACATATTTATAAATGTCAATGTTTCTTCTCCCTTGCTTGTAATAAATTAGACCGTGCTAAAAGTAAAGACATAGGTACAAATCCTTGTGAATGTAGTACAGCCCATAAGGCTGCAGTAACCATTTGTATTCTGCTTGTGTCTGCAATATTCAAGGTTCTCTCAAATCGTCACATTATGTATGTATTATGCGGGATCAACAATTTCTTATTTTACTCTTACTACACATCGTATGACACTTTTTTTTTAGATCATTGATTTTCATGTCAGTGTGGACCTCGCATTGTGACATGTACATCTAATCTCTGATGAAAACACATTTGAGATTTGGCAGTAACAACTGAAAAAGGTGCTTTGGAATGTTATTATAATTCTGTACATTGTTTCAAATACCTGACCGTAACTTTGATGAAATAATACAGTATCAGAAAGGTGGACCTTCAACCTTTTCTTAAAAAATAGCACCATTTTTCCTTGCCCCTTTCTTTCACCCTTCAGCAAGTTTTTGTTTTAAAACACTACTTGCCAAGCTATGTCAGTTCTACAGTATCACACACAAAAACTCCAACTGTGAGGCAGAACAATCTGTAGCTCAGTAACTTCCATAACACAGTCAGCTAATTTTTTCAAATGTAATGATACAGACAGCATAAGCATGGTTACCAGCAGCTGATCAACAGCTGTTTTCATCAATATAGGTTGCCCATAGGAAGTGAACCAGCCTGCTTCCTGTCCATGTAATCTGCGCCTGTAGCATTGCCAAATACTGTTCCCATTTTTTTTTAATAGTCTGGTTTCCTTTGCAACCGGCTCTTAAATTAAATGTAATGCACATACAGAATCTCTCAACACACGTAGAAGCATATTAAATCCTCAATTCAGTATTTTGCTTCTTACTCAACAGCTGGTTTGACAAACTGATAGAAATTTTTTAAAAATTCATTCTTAACTGTTTATAGACAGTCTTTGTGTTTGGACAGTAAAGGGAAGGGACGTGAAAGATTGTTTGGTACTGCTCTGTATTATTTATCACATCCCATGACAGTCTTCAGTTTACTTTAAGTTTACACCTCCATTTGAAATGGAGAAATCCTTTGCAGGATCTAACCACTCCTATTATTCCCCCACAAATTACTGATGTCAAGATGATAAGTTCGGAAATCGCTTGGAATTTCACTGTGAGAGGGTGAAGGCATTCTGCTCTGGAGTGGTGCACCCGTGAGTGTGAGCCCATGGCAACTCATCCAATGAGAATCCACCCACATGAGTCAAATTGAGTCCACTGCAGAAGATCACTCGGTTGGCCCCTTCCAGCTTGACTTCCCGGACAACTAGCAGCGTCAGAATTCACTGGAAGAAAGACAGCTGTCGAGTACTGATCATTTCTGCTTCTCAGTGATGCCAATCCCACTAACATCTCATGAGTGATCAGGGACTCGTGAGGAGTGTGGCTTACTTGTGAAGCTTAGTAGCCCTGCTCAGGGGAGCAGAGTAACTTTTAGTCTTTAAACTTCTGTGGCATCACTTGATGCAGTTCTTATTGCTCGACTGAACATCTGTACCCACTGCTTCTTATCATGTTCATCTGAGGCGAAGAACGTGAATGACTGCGTGCCATTGGGATCGGTAGATTTGACTCTGAAAGCATGTTTCACTGTAAGAACAAAAAAAACAGAAAAATGGTAAATAAACACCAGTTTTAATAATGTTCTACACAACCACATGGATAATTGTTTTTTATTTGGTCCCTTAATGTTTTTAGAGATGTGCTGTGAAGGCAGATAACATGACTGGCTAACAGATAAATCAATCACTTTTTTACAGGAATTAACTAATATGGACTTCCTACTGGAACAAATTGAATGGAATGCGTGACTACAGACTGGGCAGCCTTGGTAGGTTTAATACTAGACACAAAAACATGCTTGACCACCACACAGTTGGTTTTGGCCACTGGCTGACTGATGACCGATATGTCCCTGACCTCAGCTGTGGACACAGACAGACAACCAACCCCCTTCCACCAATTACTGGTGTGGTTGAGGTCACATACTGGGTCAATTAAAATCTCTCTCATAGGAATAGCCATAAATTACTCTCACTCAACAGATAAGAATATACTACAAAGATGGTGGAATGAAAAGAAAAGACGACAAATGATGCACACAGTGGAAATCAATACCACTCGCACTCATTTTTTAACCACTTTATGTCAGTATTTATGAGAATATTAAACTTAATAATATATCAAAATGCAACACTGACAGAGCTCTTTGATTGCATGGAATTTGATCCCATTTGAACCAGGCACACTTTGAACCACCAGCATCTGCAATATCTTTGTCTCCAATTCTGTTCAAAGTTTTGGAGTCAACTTTTGCATTATCACACTCCGCAAAACACAACAAAAACAAGGGAGCATACGAATGGGCTTCGACAACAAACAAAACATGCTGCCCGAGTTTATCAAAACTGTTTCTGTGATGGCAAAATTAACCACAAAGGCCTCCCCCAACAAAGCCCCGTGTGCCAGTATGCCAAGGATCACATGGCCTCTTCAGACCAACTGGGTCTGCATCATACCTTAGCCAGGTTTAGAATTACCCATATTTGGTTAAGGTAAACAGTCTCCTGGACAGGCCTCCCCCTCTGTGCGTGTAAGGAATACTTTGACATGTTTCAGGAGTTCAAACGATTGGCAGGTCAAAGGTCAACTTGTAACAGGTGTATCACCTCAGTAGCAAGGTACTGGCACATGTACATGTAGAGTAGATATATTGCTGGGGAATACTGGGATTTTTTGTTTTTGTTTTTTTATCTGAAACTCGAAAGGGTATAAGAAGAATCATCGTGATTAGATTCAGCTGTCAGAGTTAGCAATGATATTGTGGTATTTTAACTGCGTAAGGGATGCTGGGGGGGGTGAAGCCCATTTGCTTGATATGCAAGGGGTAACCATTCCCAGTCAAATTCCATCTGACTGAATTGTAATTTTCACTTGCTTAGTTGAGGTGTTGAACAATATTAGACATGAAACCAACAGGGGTGGGTAGTTTGTAAGAGGCACGTCTCCTGTGAACAGGAATCCTCACCTGTCTGACCACCAGTCAAACTCCTGAAGGAACCTCCCAGCTTGACCTCACCATCATCCAGGTCCTCCAGCTGCATGCTCTGAAGGGGGATTGGGTTCTCGTAGACCTGGTACATCTTCTCCTCATTCCGGGTGACTAGTCTCGTCACAACCAGGATGTCCTCAAACAGGAAAACATGCAGCTTCTGAATGAAGAGAAGAAAAGCAGAAAAGTGTCAACTGAAAACAAAAATTCAAACGATTTTTAGCTGAAATGCCCTTGACTAAAACTGCCAGAGATACAAAGGCCAGATATGTTGAACTGTGTATTGTTTCTCCAAGGTGATGTCCTTACTGTAGTTAACAACAACAAAACAAACAACTCCAAGGAAGAAGGTTTAACATTGAAGTTATATACAAAATTCAACCAAACAAATTTACCAACTTGCCACCCCTTATACGTGTTTTCAGGGCTTGCAAATTCACCAACTGAATTCTTTTATTATGAGTACACACAGAATTGCCTTCCATAGTCATTTTAATGGGCTGATGAGTAATGCCATTCATTGTTAAGATTTACCTTGAATATTTTTTGACTCCTGAAAAGTGTATCATACACGACAACCCTTTTATCTATGGAAATTCTTACACAAATGAATGGCCCTTCTGAGCTATGTGTGGAATTCCCCGCCTGCAATGCCAGGTATTCCTCAGGTAACCTTGCTGAGATTTTGACTTGCACAAGTCCCTCAAGGGTACCTTTACTGACAAAGATGCAGGGCTCTGTCGGATCTAATCAACTGAACTCTTGAGTTGAACCAGCCAAGTCCACTGCTAAATGTAATGCTATCTGATCAGATGACAGGGCATGCCTCAATCTTTTTTCCCCCTCTCAGGGGTGGATGAGTTAACCTTTGAATTTAATTTGAATGCATCCTTGTACAAACTGGGCGAGTTACTTGGTTCATCACTCAAGGTAGGAGGGGATGGGAATAAGACAGCCCTGCCATTTGGTGGAGAGCGTTTATTCAGCTGACTTGCTCAGTGTCGTGGTCTGTTTCATACCATTCCTCTCCCCTTGATGTTTCGCAGCACCCCGCTGCACAGTAGCTTCTTCTGTTGACTAATGAGGGGATGCTCTTGACTGTCTCTCAGGTAGACCAGATGATCGATATAGTGCCGACATTTCATCTCCCCTGTCCGCCGATCAACCTCTTGGCTCACACCCTCTGCTGCCTTGGTCTGTTGTCAAGTGAGATGGGATCACATATGCAAAGGTTATCACAAAACTGACTGATAAGTGATTACAAGCTTGATCATTTATCATTGGTAAATTGACTGAAATGATAATATATAAGATCAAGTTTGGATCTTTAACGCCTGTTGGTTTAAATAGTACTTCATGTACCAATTCAGTTTATATTGACAGATGTAAAATTGAGTTGATTGGACAAGGAGATGTACATGTACTACACTGCAAGTGAATTTACCAGAGACATGCAATCCATTTTAAAATAATAACACAAACTAGTGACATGAATATCATAGTCTTAGGTATATTTCTGTTTCCTTTAGTAGCAATTGTGTTTGAGGAAATGGCTAATGTCATTGGGAGCTATCACAAGCCAACTGTGGCCAAAATTTGGACTTCTAGAAAAGGCCCTTTGAAGGCAACAATGCCACTCACTGCTTTTGCTAGGTAGTTTTTGTCAGGATGCTCATTGGGTGTCACCTCCAGGATCTTCTGAATCAAGAGCGGGTACTTGATCAGTCGCCGCCTGGGCACATCCAGGAAGTTCCACAAGTCCAGCCGGCGACTGAAGGGGGACTCCTGGCACCGTTCCAGAAAATCATGGACCTTCTTGTCTTGGCGCTTCTCGTCTAGAAGCACTTTGGCAGCTAGGAGATTTGTGCAGTAGGCTGTGTAGACATTGGTCAGGGTGGGCAGCTGCATAAGAAATGAAGAAAACATGACACCTAAAGCACACACTTATGGCTGCTGGAAGTTTTATCATATAACTTTATAAATCCACTTCTTGGGAAGGAAGGAATCTGATAGTTTGTTTTACCCACCCATTCTAAAAGGACATTGCCAATAAAGTCTGTTGTTCCATCTGCCTTCCTTTGTTTGTTCATCTTATTAATCAAATCTGCAACCAAACAAAACAATGAAGTGCAATTTGTTAAAATGAGAAAAGAATCCTTAAGTGGCTAGGCAACATGAATGATGAAAGGGATAAACCTCAAAAAAATGTAATGAAACGTGTTGATGAGTCCAAGTGAAACAAACTAGATCTATCCAGTACAGCCAGTGACCACTCTGTTGTTTGTCTCTGCATTCAAAGCAGGGGGTCTCACAGTGACCTGGAGGAGTTTTCCTCCAGATCTTGATAAGAATCTATCCTTACACAACCCAGCCCAGAGCACATGGAAAGAAAAGCCCCAAGCAAGATCATTGGCAAGGTGTACCATTAGTAAAACAAATAAAAACTAGCCCTGCTTCACTACAACCAATGCCATCCCTTTATCACCAACTTCTTCTGTCAATGCCAGTCTTAACGTAGCAGATTTTGAAACATTTTTGAAGGCGACTTTTGTGTTTAATTTGTCTTTGTGCAAGGAAAAACTACCAGTTTTGCCTTGAACGTTTTAATTTTTGAAAAATTACACATGTAGTTTATACATCTAATAGTAATTTGGCAGTGCACATAGCTGGAAGTAAAGTGTCAACAATTTTAATATGAAAAATGGAAAAAAACACTGCCAAGTAAATTGGCAGTTCTTCACTTCGGAGACATTCTTTGAGAGGTTTAAATCATGCTCTAAGGAAAACTGAAGTTTGTCAGCGATGTGCGTGCCCAAGGGATAGCCCTGTAAAATTGGCCCCACACGAACTCAAAAGTACCGCCACCTTGTAATCCAGTAAGCTGAACCATGCATGACAGCACAGATGCTTTGCTACCATATTACTGTACACAATACTGAGATAAAGAATTGTCCCAAAAATGCCTTCACCCAAGGAGAAACTAACATTCAAAGTATTGAGAGAGTTATGCTAACTATTTTTACGGATGAGAATTATTCCAATCGATTGGACCAATTGTGAAAGTAACACCACCTCTGTTGAATCAATTACAATGTAGGCGTGTACATGTACTGTATTTACAGACAAACTTAAAAAAAACATTGGTCTGAAACTGCAGACAGAAACCATGTGCATGCAGCATGATCTTGTATACTGTGGGTCAAGAAAATGTGGGCTTTTGTCGACGTGTGAACAATTGCCGCTCAGAAAATCATCAAATCAAAACCGCAAAAGGGTCAACTTTGTTCCCCTTAAACCTGAAAAAAATGAATTGAAACAAATGCAAAATATGCTGGACTACAATATGACTGATTTGGGTATGGATAGGTCAGTGCCTGCAAAATGCTGAAAATGGAAACCACAGGTTTGATTTCTGGGAATGTAAGGGAAGATGCAAAAAGCCTAGACGCTGGTAAATCTAGGTGAGAAACAACTCAACGAGGCACTTGGGACATGTAAAACCTGGATTCTCGGAGAGAACCACTTGCAAAGACAATATCAACCACCAAGCAATGCAGCACTACAAAAGATCATTCCATCTACTTTCAATTTAATTATCTCCTGTTGGCCATCTAAACCTGCTCATCTCATGAATTTCTCTGAAAATAGCTCCAAAATAATAGGAATATACGGGCGCTCAGTGTTCCGTGACAGCACTAAATCACAAGGTGTACGCTCAGGTTGCAGACAGTTTTCCCCCGATGGGAAATCAATTGCGAGTGCAGTACCTATATGCATTTGTGTGCATGCGCACAAATCAGTTTTGTACCAAGTAGACCATGCTTTACACTGTACATCGCATCAAATTTGTTTATAAAATGTTGCACACTGCATAGACAGCCTGAAGTGATGTACGTAATTGTGCATTAATAATAAGACTTCCAGGAATTGATGTGTTACAACAACAGCGTGGACAAAGTAGGGAAATGACTGCGCTTTCAAATAACCACACGCTTGAAATGAAAAGCAATTAAATTGTCAGGTGTTTACAGAGAATTCTCTGCATATGGCAGAATTAAGCCACACGCTTCATATACAACAGAATAAATTAAAAAAATACAAGGGGTGACAATGATGCTTTTCTCAAAAACTGCATTCCCTCCCCTAGAAAAAGGTCATTTCTTTTTCAGCAACCTTCTTTTTGCATTTTACATGCTCATCATATATATCTCTCTCTACTGCCTCTGCCTTGTGCAACATATCAAGGCATACAACAAACAATAAAATTTGTTTTTACCTTGATGCAAGGGCTGCAAATCTTCCAGTCCGCCAAATATTGTCTCCAACTCTTGCTCACTGAGCATGCCCAGAGACCTCATGGAATCTCGATACGTCTTCATGATCAGCTTCAAGTCGTCCACCATGTCCAACTCCCCACGGAAAAGCTCATAGATAACCTACAGAGGTCCAGGCAGAAATGACAGTCTGGATATGTATCTTCAGACTTTTGCATTCATTGTCTCACACAGAAATTCACGAGAACAGCTCTTGGCCTTTTTCAAGAAATGATAAACTTGTCCTTAGGCATTCACTTATGACCTTTGACCAAATTAATAGCAATCTGTTCTCTTTTCTATTTATTCATTAATATTAATACAATATATACGTGTATTTATTCATTGAAAAATAATCTACGTGACAACAGTCACACGTATGTGGGCATATATATGTGTAGTGTACAAGGAATTCATCTTTTAATAGTGTTCAAACAATTGATAAATTTTGCAGCAAATTAATTTTCACAAGTTTTAGCCTCATTTCAAAACAGATCTTTCCAAATGACCTTTAACCATTTACAATGTATGCTGTTAATGATGGATAGCTTTAATGAAGTCAGGTTAGTGAATAGAACTTTCTAATCTTGAACACCCACACAGCGTTTCCTAGAATTCTCTTCAATCTTAGTTCTGTCCCACCACTCCATCTATTTCTTACTGAAGTCTTGACTGCTTGAACAGAATTCTTTTACCATTTGCAATCCTATCGTACCTCTTGTCTCTTGATCTGCCCCTTGGTCAATCCTTCATTGATGTTGCTCTGCACTGTGTCTGACCATAGCACGCTATCTCTCCTCTTGGTGGGTGTGACCGTTGGCTTACAGTAAGGCTTGATGTTGAATGGAGGGGAGTGGCTCGTCCGGAAGCTCATTGATCTCTATCAAAGAAAGAAAAATAGACTTTGTAAAGAAGTGACTGAAGAGCAAGTCAAAGACGCTGTCTTTTGCAAAGATGAGGAAAAAAAGGGGGGCGGGGGGAAATTATTTTGTCTGGTCACAGAAGTTACTCTTTCCTCTGAACGAAAGTTTCCCTGATCATGGAGAGAAAAAGAAAGAAATTAGTCGAGAAATGGCAAGTCTATTTCTGGGAAAAAAAAAAAATGAATTATAAAAAAGAAAAACACTTCAGGTTGTGAACTCTGGTGCCACAATACTGCAGTGTGAAGTATGCAATGAAGCATGTGTATGACTGAAACCAGTTGCTTGGCCTCTTAACGACATTAGAGTTGACTGTCCAAATTATGAAATAGCTATAGAATAATCACTCTTAAACACTAACCATGGTCACAGACGGTGTTTGCTCAGTGCCCCGCACCATTTTTGAGACTGCTTCACCAAAGCTACCTCGCAGGCAATAAAATAGGAGATTTTCTAGTACCGGTTGCCTATTATAACACACGTCGCAGCTCATGTGTAGCAGTGCTCCTCTGCTGAGATCAAGTCACTGAATAATTGCCTACGCTATCCCCATCTCTAATGATACACAGGATGGGAGAGAGTCCTATGTGTACAATATGCCTAACGTACTTTGGCCGGGAAAAAATTTATTTGGCTCATACAGCTCAGTGACACTACCTAGAAATCACTGCACTGTGTGGCAAATACAAATCTGCGTAGGTGGTGCTAGACTTGCCATAAATACATACTACAGGGTTTTAATTTGTGGCTAAGCCAGTAGAGCTGACGTCAGTTACAAGCATACATGTACCGGTATGTCTAAAAAGACAGATTTTGACAAACAGGGCTTGGGTACTATTGAGTGCTTGGTCAGGAACTGGGCACTGTGGAAAGGAAAACAAACAAGGTAATTGTGATGGAAGGGTACGGGGACGAAATGTGGATTTCCAAGTAAAAACAAGTCAATCAGGTACCAATTATCTTTGGGGAAAATGTGGTATGGTAAGTTTATGTCCCTTGGAAAGCAACGCAACCACTGAGGAAGAAATGATACAACATAGCAGCCACAAAACGTCCTCTCTGAAGAGACAGATCAGTCACTGTGGTAATGGACTATTTGGTTTGGAAAAAAAAATCAGTACTAAAATATTAAATGCAATCTCCAAGATGCCTTTTGCTTTGTAAAAAAGATGGTATATAAGACATACACTTCCAAACATCCAAACCAGCTGGTAAAGATGAACACACAGTGAGTACTTGATGTAATGCGCCTACCGGTTGTTCTCACCAGGTCTTATGTCAGGATTGGTCACTTGTTCCTAGGGGCAGTGTTGTAGTCGAGACCTTTATGTCCGAGACCAAGACCAAGGCATTCGAGACCGAGACCAGCTCTTTCAAGACCGAGACCAGAACTTCGAGACCGAGACTTTTGCAGTTCGAGACCGAGACCAAGATGACCGAGACTGAGACC